ATCTAGAGAGAGGTAAGTTGCATTCATTATTTTCCGTTAAAGTTATTTATGTATATTTCAACTGATACCTATTTTTATATTAATTTAGAACAGAACTCCTCACAAATGGGTAAGCGAATATGATAATTAGATTTTTTTTATATAGTTATATAAAAAATAATATAAAATAATTGTTAAAACTAAATTTACATTTTTTTTGTCATATTTCTTTTCTGAAACATTTAAAATATTTTAAAATGCGGCGTGAGCAATTCAGTTTTAAAACACAATATACGCATAAACATCGTGCTTCCTAAATGAACACAGAGTTAATTGTGTTAACCTCAGCATGTTCATCGCTCCACTTGATATTAAGTTATAAGTCGTGAAGATAGCTTTTACAGCAGAGTAAAGTTGTAGATAATGTACCGTGCTACGCCAGTCCTAACGAACGTATTTTCTAAAATTGTTAATTGTGAGATTTGAATTCGGTAATGTAACGAAAAGGACGGATTTCTAGCTTTCAGTACAGGTACACCGAAAAGTGTTTAAATTATTATAAATGATTAAAGTGAAAATAAAATAAATAGTGTAATACGGTGGTAGAGTGTGACATGATTCCGAATGCGCAGACGCGGGCGGGGCTACGATTTGGAGCGTGGCGGGGGCGCGGGCGGGGGCGGGCGGTCGTATGAAGCGCCGCTGAGCTACGAGGCGGCGCTGGCGATGGGCCGCGGGGGCGGGGCTCGGGCGCTGCCGTCACCGGCGGGCGCGGCGCCGGGCGCGGGCGTAGGCGGTGCGCGGTTACCTAATGGATACAAGCCGCGCGCGCGCCACTCCGACTCCGACGAGGACGACTGGTGCTAGCGGCGCCGCCGCGCGCGCTCCCAGCGGGACGTGCGCGCGCCCCGAGCCGGCCCCCGCGCGCCCGCGCATACCTTCTGACGCCCGCCCGTCGCCCGCCGCCGACGCCGCCGACGCCGCCGCCGCCTCGCACACACTTTTTATACCCGCTCGCCCGCCGAACCGACGCGTGTACATAGACGACTCTCGTTGCTCACCCGTTTGGACTCACCTCCCGGAGCGCGGCCCCGGCCCCGTCCCCGTCCCCGCCGCCGAGGCGACGACGACGACGGCCCTCCGCGAGCTATATCCAAATTCTAGTGTTTACAAAGTTTTGGAAAATTTAATTTTTAATTCGCTAAAATTTTACTCCTTGATTTGTATTTACGTATAAGGCGAGCGGAGCGCGGAACGGTGGCCCGGCCCGTGATGCCCGTAGGATTTTTACATTGTCGTGAGGTCGCCGGTCGCGTGGGCGTGGTGGAGTTACGTCGTCGATGAGAGTCCCCGCGCGATCGCCTCCGCTCCGCGCTCCTGTTAGACGTTGGAGGAACACTAGCGATTCATCGTCGAACAAATTAATACTAGTATTGTATAAAATATTAATATAGCGAATAATTTTTACTTAGTTAATATACTAAATAAATAATTAAACATTTTTTATTGAATTTGCTGTCCTTCCCCCAAGTGCTTTATACCTACGTTATTTAAATACGATTAAAACTAAATAATATGAATTGTATGTACCTTTGAAAATATATCTCAGAATTAAATGATTACATAAATTGTTACATCGTGTACTGATATTGTTTAAAGAGATTTTGCCGCCTGGTTTACTGCGTGTGTATGATTATACAAAACGTTAAGTAAAATAGATTTAATGACGTGTACCGACCCATGTTGTTGTAAAGTCTACTTAACAGTCAAAATTTAAGTTGTAAGGAAAAAATTCGTATCGACAACAGAAAGTTATTAAAAATTGTCCTAAAGTACTAATGTAACTGATAATTTTACATCGACTTTCGCTGCAATAATGTACTTTGCTCATCGACATACCAAAATAGTGTAAATAATAGAAAGCAACTGTGTTAAAAGGCTATTAAAAATAATTCAACATTACCATAACGGTTAAAGTACGCTGAAAAAAAGGATTCACAAAAGTCAAACGTTATGTTGATGAGCATATCCGTTATCGTGGTATTTTGAACAAAAAATTTCCACGGATTGAACGTTGTTGTCTACAGACTGTCCATCTTTAAAATCATAACATACGTAACGGTTTTTCATAAAATACCTTGTATAGCTATTAAACATTCATTTACATACAGTTCTGAAAATGTACTTGGACCCATTGAAACTACTGATGTTTCTAATCCCATTTATATAAACAACAATATTCAAGAGACCACGATAATGGCATTTTTGCAATACTATTTTGAGTAAGAGCCAGGCACAAAATCAAAAGGTTTTATGTACAGTCACACACAGAATCTGTTTACTACTTTAAAATATTTAATTTACTTTTAAATTATTTATTTTGTCAGATTATCAATTTCTTTTATTTGGTACATTACTTTGAATTAAAGTAGTAAACCAATTCTGAAATTGAGCGTGAAAACATAAAATCTAAATAACAATCGTCCTAATCCCGTTGATATTTACTATTGAAATCTAATAAGTATATGTTACGCCATCATCATTCTTACTCATCTATTAGTTGTTGCTTCCGGCGCCACTGTCGCACTATGAAGTCATTGGGTACACTTAACTACAAAATAGTCAAAAATATAATTAAAAAATAAAAAACGCTATCAATTTAAATTTGTTTCCTTTTGTAACCTTAAAGAAATTGTAGAATAGAATATTTAGGTAATTATGACTAAGTAATGAACTTAATTTCGTATTCAAAAAAATGTTATCCATACAGAAGTACGACAGTGGCGCAGCAAACAATTTGTTCAACACCATCAAATACATTTGTTGCAAAGCAAGTAGGTTACGTATGTATGACACTTTAGTACGACAAAATTGTAAATACATGATTTTCTGTGATAACATGAGGGAAAAATGAGAATATTATTATTAGAAACTGTGTGATTGCCTAGGGAAGCTGTTCATTTTTTAAGAAACTCCGTGCTTTTGGGATGCGATTGTCTACGACTTATTTGACGATACGATTTCAGTGAAATTCCAAGTTTAATGGTTTTGTAATCTTCATTTGTAACATTTTCCTAATATTGAAACAATAGGAAATTATTATGTGTATTTAAATTAAGGGGAAACATACGTAATAGTATTCAAAGTCTGAAGGCTAGTTATTCCTAGAGGCGCGGAAAATGTAGGATCCTTTAGTCGAATTGGATATTATTATTCTCATATTTTGATTGTTGTTGCTCGTTACGAAGGGAGGGAGCTGGTTGTATAGCTTTTATATTTTACCTCTGTTATAGTTATTAGTACAAATTGTCTACGCTGCAAGGGACTTATAGAATTACGTGCAGAACTATCCACAGTTCAGATTCATGTCTTATAATATAATCAACGTTTTGATATAATTAAATGATTATGTTCCCTTAATATAAATTTATTAATTTGAACTTCTGATATTATTGATGGTATACTGAAATCAGTGGCTAATATAGTGTTATATATTTGAATAATTCTATTGTTTTCAAGTGTTCGCAGTCGAATACATGTTCCAGAAATATAAATTGTTGCCCTCGAACTCAAGTGTTTAGATTTCTTCTATTGTATATTTATTATTTATCGATATTGACTCATGAAGAATATTTATATTGTTATTGTATAGACGTATTTTCGTTCTGTAATTTGTAAATGGGGTGTTAGGATGATACAATAAGCCGATGGACTTTCAATGACTGAGTGGCATAGAGATACAGAGTGCGTCCCGCTTTAGTGTTTGTGACTCCCTCGTATATACATGTTTCACATACGTGTATATGACGTGTAAATATTGTAAAATATTACGCGACCGTTGTGTAGAGGTCGTCTGTGAAAATGTCTAGTGATATGTTACTAGTTACCTTAATGTTAGCTAGGTAATCTCGTCCCCAACTGTCCTTGAATTTAAGTTGGGTGTTTCACTGCCTTAAAGTAATAATGATGTAAACGTAACCGTTACATTTTAATAATACAGATAAGTGACCTCTCAATTATTCTTATACGTTTTTTAACATTTGATGATACACTAGTCACCGCCAACGATTCGGTACCACTAGGGTTTTCGTTGTCATTATACGTTTAAATCATATGAACACTCACTAATAAAAGACAGTCGTATCTAATTAATACTAAGGGATCGAAATTGTTAAATAATTATAATAATGTTAATACTCTCTTAGCTCACTTCCTTATTTTTGAAAATTCATAACGTATTCAACGAATCACACGGCGGAAGCGTGACTTTGCCTTGTGTGGTAGGCGTTCGTTATGTAAGGTATAAATATCTTGTTTCTTAACCCGCCGATTTGATGATTATAACTGATTTAAAATTGTAATGGTGTCGCAAATATCCTCAGGTTATGGCGACCGCATACCATCGGGTGTTGGCCACATGCATGTTTGATATCCTTTAAAAAACTGAAGTGAGATAAGAAAGTCTGAACCCAATATTGTCATGCCTGCCTTGTATCTGTGTAATCGCTTCACGACAATCATATTTTATATTTAAAAGTTATTATTGTATATTTAGCATAGAAAGTTCATCGGCATCGAGAGAGCACCATAGTATGTTTTTTGGTACGTTCCAATAACTTTACAGGATAGTGCAATCCTATTGATATTGTATTAATAAAGAACCAAACTTTAAAATTAGTATTTAAGTAATTTATTATCCTAAAACTAAAAACTATACGCATGTTTTCACTATACTGGTAAAAATGGTTATGTACAATACGAAAGAGCTACTGTTTTATATATGAATTCTTGCTCGCCTGTAAAATTTTGCAGAATGAATCATATTATAAGATTGTACAATATGAATAAATGCAAAAAAGACATTTCCTCGATATCGTGTCTTAATTTGTGAACCCCAGATATTCCTTCTTTCGGTAGATACTACCTATGTCATATTCATACAAAATATACCGCACAAAATTAGGTCAGTCTTACTACAAACAAATAAAAATATTCATATACAAATACAATAATTTATTGAATACGGCAATATTATTTACACGCACCGCCTTAGTGAAAAAATAGTATCACTATAATTTAGATGACTTTGAAATGTCAAAGGAATATCACAGAATTAATAATGAAAATAAAATAGTTCACTCACAGTCGCTTAATTTCTTGAACAGGATTGCCTTCAAAATTTTCCCGGGATGGCTGATTCTTCTCAAATCAATAGTCAGTTGTTTTACAAGACAGTCAGTTGTTCCATGCGACAGTCATTTGTTTCATTCGACAGTCAGTTGTCTGAAGAATCCGGGATATCAGTGTCGACAGAACTGACATCTGCGTCTACGTCACTGGCAGCGCGAACGGGCACTATTTGAGGGTCCCCAGCGGAGTTTAAGATCGCAGCGTTCCTCGAATTCATTGGCCCTGCAAGACGAGTTTACCAATACAATGGACCAATTCAACGATAAATTTGTATGAGCAGCTTAAAGGGCGCCATTACTCCAAAGTTCGAATAGTAATTTTAGCGCATTTTAGTACCAAAGTCACCCGAAGCATCTATACGTACATGTAGGATAAGCATCACAGAAAGGTTCTGTATATACATCCCTTAAGGTTTTTACAAGATAAAACTAATATGTTAAATTAAAACTTTAAATATTCGTTGCATTATAAAAAATACTAACCTTCGGTAGTAATAGCACGAGAAGTATCTGCTACTTCCGTGCGTGCTGGCAACACCGGCACTATAATAGACGAAGTGCCAGCTGGTTCTCTAATTAGATCGATGTGGGTCGTAAACAGAGTAGGGTCAATCAGTATAGCCTGCAATGAAAAATGGCACGTACAATCATTACAATGTGACATTAATACACCATATTTACATAGCGAGTAAGAGCTATTTTAGAATAGCATGAATAAATTTTCATGACAAGTTTACGAATGAAAGACATTCATTCTCTCAACTGTACTCTAGGTAAGAGAATCTGTGAAAGCAATGGCCTGACAACTTGTCACCATTGTTTCCTGATCCAGCTAACTTTAATTTGGCGTTGTGGCAGTGTGGTTGCGAAAAGATATATCGTGAATTTATTTATTTTTTAAGCATTTAACTGCTAGATGTTTAAATCTAAAGAAAAGTTTACTAGAAAAAAATCCACGCGGACCAGGCAGCGGACGGGACTCGAACCCGCATCCTTCGCTATCCGGGCGAATGCATTGACCATTATGCTACCACGGCCCTATTAGCCGCGTCGAAATTTTCCTAGCCTTAAGCTGCAAGGCAGCGCCATCTCTTCGCATTGTAGGTAACCCACAATGTCAAATGATGTCAATTTTTATCTAGTAAACTTTTCTTTAGATTTAAACATCTAGCAGTTAAATGCTTAAAAAATAAATAAAATCATAACTATAATTGTTATTTCTTCTTTCTAATGTTTAATACTTGAAAAAGTATTCATTTGACATTGTGGGTTACCTACAATGCGAAGAGATGGCACTGCCTTGCAGCTTAAGGTTAGGAAAATTTCGACGCGGCTAATAGGGCCGTGGTAGCATAATGGTCAGTGCATTCGCCCGGATAGCGAAGGATGCGGGTTCGAATCCAGTCCGCTGCCTGGTCCGCGTGGATTTTTTCTAGTAAACTTTTCTTTAGATATATCGTAAAGTTATAAAATATATGCCTGATGAGGAACACAAAGGTTTCGCAGAGGTTTAACGCGTTCATTCAGGGATCGTGAAAGTTAGGTACCTTTTGCATTGGCCGGACAACAAAGTTACTATCTCAAGCTTTTCAGTACTTCGGGTGGCACTTTCAAAGCGTTGGTCCTGGTCGGATGTTCAGTTGTTACCATCCTCCAAGCCGCACTGGGCCCGCGTGATCCCAATCCGTCTATTCCATTCATAAGGAAAATTTGTGTTTCAGGAATGTAGGTTGATGAGATGATATAATGTAAGTAATGCAGGAGGAAAGTATGCTCGGTTCAGTAGGTACCCTTGGCACGAACCAATATCGAATTCCAATAGTCAATTGATTTCGATCTCGATACGCGTCAAATGTCAAGAAGTCTTGTAAGGAAGATTTTTAATTCTCGTTACGTCCGTTGTGGCGCTGTTCTAATTTTCATACAAAACTTCTTGACATTTATCAAGATGAAGTCATTATTGGTTCGTTACCAAGGGAATTCACGCGCTTACCTCACTACGCGGCTCAGAAGACGTGACGCTTGAGCTGAGCGAGGTGCCTCGGCCCGAGCTGTCCTGCGAGCGGTCGCTATGTATGCCGCGACCGTCACCTGCGCCCGCGCCCGCACCCATACCGGGCTCCACAGCGTTACCGTTCATATCGTAAACGGGTTCGGCATGCGGTAACTGCATCTGTACTAAGTGCTCAGACTCTTCTTCGTCCTCATCTTCGTATGTGTCTGTATCTGCGTCATCACCGTCTTCATCCTCCTCTTGGACCTAGCAAGCCGAATGATAAACCAGAGGCCCAAAAGTACGAACTTTGGCAGATCCGTAATCGTATCGTCATTTCCAAAGTACCGCAGAAGCACAGAATCGAAGCGCAACGAAGCGTCATTCGGAAGCGTACCATAGAAAATTTACCTTTATCTCCGCAACGTAATGCACATAACTCTTCTAAGCTGATAATCAGCTTTGGTTATTAATTTCATCATATGCATGCGAATTCGAGCGTCTTTTTTTCTTTTTCTTTATAAGAGGTGCAACAAATTAACTCACGCCCTACCTGATGTTAAATTAGGTGGAGTCCAGTCACGAAGAGGAAATAATATGATTTACATTGCGGAGATAAGGGTGAATTTTCTTTGTTACGTTTCTGATTGACGTTTCCATACGCTTCGTCTCTGCGCTAGTATGAATTGAATATAAAATTCGAAGACTTCCGAGTCTCGCATTGCACCTCACACGAAAACATCAATCGTTCCATTCCGATGCAGTAGCGATTATGCCTATATTGCAACACGGAACTAGATTTCAATCAAATGTCAAAAACTGACTTCAATATTATCGAAGGTTTGGGAGTTAGTGGTAATGTGGTTGTTTTAAGTTTTTTTTGGTGGTTGTTTTTCTTTAATAAAGTACCCACTCTAAAAATGACACCGAGAATTCTTCTGGAATCCTAATAGACTTTGGAGACTACTGCACTTCTGGGGGAGATGGGCTAGTTGTGCTAGCCTAATAATACCCTGTACGCACAATAGATTCGTGACAAATGATTGCATAGTACTTAGCTTTGACTAGTTACTCTAGGATCGGACGATGGGGATATTATACCCATAAATAAGTTAGACACAGATGTGTAGATATTATTAAGACCTTGTGTGCCATGACAGGGGAATCAATATTTGGTCAAAAAGCATTAATGTCTGCTTCATGATGCGTTACCGATGAGGGTTTCCAGTTTTACCTCTTTATAAATATATTGAAACGATCATGTTTGGACACTAGATCAATATCATAAAGGAGATTGTTCAAATTGGCCCAAATGCACAAAAAAATATTGACATACACGGTAATTCCTGGCGTAATTTATAATTTAATTTACAGTTATTAGATTTCAACGGACACCTTTGTACAAAATATTAACTTTAAAAAGGACTTTTAATTTTACCGGTTTGGAAAACATACGAATCATTTTTAATGGCTATGGGTGTAGTAACATTCAGCCAAAGACTGATCGAAGTTGTTTATATAACATAAAAACAAATCTATTTTGTAAAGATCCATAAAATAAATCATTTTTTTTATTACACTGTGGTATTAATATCCACAACTATATTATCATTTTCACTACATGCAAATGTGCTTAGACAATTATAATAGATGGTAGGCGACATCATAAATTCTATTGCCATACATATTTCGCCAAACACCTCCATAAACACATTATAATTTGTATATATGTTAGACTTTAAGGTATCTATCTATGGGCCTACGTTGCCTGACTATAAATTAATAAATAAATAAAATTATGAGGTGTGATACACTAAAAATCTAAAATATGGTTATCTTAAAAATATAACAAAAATAATGAACCTACTGAATATAAGGCTAAAGAACCTAAATCTCTTAGCTTTCTTTGGTTAACGAGAGTTTACAAAATCTCTCTAATCTGTGGCTCATTCACAATCATCACACAGTTTCTGTCACAGAGTACCTTATTATAACCGGAAATTCATATATGACACCTGATTTTAAAAGTTACTCTTACTACTACGCATTCACTTTAAAATCAGGCAACTATCTGTTAATCTAGATTCTCTATATACCTGAATTTAATCCATAATTTCGGTACTTGGCTTGATTTCCCTAGTTTACTATATAACTTACTTATTTGTTTTTTATTATGTTCAGTGTATATGGTTTATAGAAGTTCTCAGAGGTATCCGTCAATAATATTCTTTTCTACAATAATTTTATATATAATTTCGACCCCAGGAAACAATTTTTCATGATTATTGGTATTTAGGCCAAACATGTATGGAAGCTGAGCAATATCCTTTCAATGTTAAATTCTTACCGATTGTTGTTGGCTTATAATATGAAAAAGCCAATTTGGTACCACCGTGTCTTCATCTATCAAGCAAGAGTCGTATGTATCGGAAGATCTACCCGAAACAAATACCTCTTCTGAATTCTGTAATTAAACAAACCACAAAATGTGAAACCAACACGTAAGCTATAGCTTAATTTTTTCATATAAGTTACTAACAGCCAGTCTTGTGTAACCTCTCGCTACACTGCCAGTCTCAGAGTCCACGAGATTCACGTGATCTGGTTGGTCACCAGTAAGAGGTGCAGCATTCATTGACAAACCACTAAATATTTGCATGGCCAAAGGCCCAGCCGGACTCTAAAATCAAACCAGGAATACAAATACATTGATTAATATTGATCCAAATATATCAATATATAGAGATATATATATATATATAAATCGTCGAAAAGTATGTATGCTCGAAAGACTGAACCATATTGGATAATTCTTCTATTATTATGTTCATCATTGTCAGGACAGGGTATAAAAGATTTTTTTCAAATCACGGAATTAAATTAGCGCAAAAAATATTTTAAAAATAAAGTTTATTATATCACGTCACGACACGCATGAGTGCCCGAGTTTATTTCTTAGGCATTCACCCCAAATCAATGATATACTAGATTTATCAAGAAACATTTCAGAAATTGCAAGAAAATAATGTACACAAATCTAAAGCGACAAAACTTATGCTTATGTTTTGGCAAGGAGACAGGAGGAATATGATAAGTATTAATATTTATTTCAAGATGACATAAATCATAATTACTGCATTAGGTTTTGGATTCCAAAAAAATAAAAGTATTCTCAATTTCTCAGTACAAAGGATCGACTAAGGGATTAACTGTGTTTGAAGAAAATGGAGCAAAGATCTGAAAAACCAATCTTAAACGATTTAGTGAGCACACAGCTCCGTCCACTCTTGCGGGGAATACGGACGTGAATTTTCCTTCTAAATACAATTTTTTACTGACTTTAATATGAATACTACTAAGGTCTACTCGTTTATCAATTACCACGATGTCAATACGTACCTGATTTCGTTTCGTCGCTTGCGTCAAAATCGAAACGGAACGGACCTAACTGTCAATCTGTTGAACCGAGCCAAACTACATTCGAAGATTATTATACCGCGATTCAATTAACTCTGCAGATTCAGCGAATGGTGGTCGATTGACCATTCTCCAACCGACACATGCACAGTGGTAGTCTGCGTCATTATGAACATGAGCAAGATTCAATGACATAAACGTTCGTCGTTACGGTGGGTGGGCTAGATCTATTAATTACTTCGCGGCTTATAATTCTAAAATGGAATCGATACAACTCTGACGACATTTTTAATGTCATTGAATTTGATCACTGTTCATGAGAAATCTGATAGCAGTTGCTTAACTGCTACCCTAATGTCAGATTTGACTTTTGAAAAGAAGCCTTTTGGAATAACGGTCATATTATTAGAAAAAAGAATACAAAGATTAGATTAAGGTTATAATATATTATATTTTATTAGTGCGTGTGGATTTTTTTCTAGTAAAATCTTCTTTATATAAGGTATTTCGGGGGCGGAATGGTGTTTGTTGTCTAAAGATTTCCGCCAAACTGTGACAGTTATTCCAAGATCGACTACTGGCAATGTATTCATTGGCAGTAGTCGATCTTGGAATTGCCTCTATTAATCCGTTTGTAGCGCCATGTAATGAATTTTCAGCTGACAGTAAATATGAGAGTAACAGTTAAAGTGAAAGTTGTGGTACTATTGAAATGAAAGCAAATAGCTTTCATTTCTTACAAATTCTTGTAAGCGCTCAGCGGTACGAAGTTCGCCGGGCCGGCCAGTATAAATTAAATTCTTGTTTTAAGTTTAACGTACCTCCATTGTCAGTGGAGTTTTCCTCTCAAATATATCACGAACAGAACCGTGCAGAGGTATAACTGAATTGTGTACATCTGGAACATTGTTTAAGGAACTCTCTGCCAAAAAGTATTCGGATAATTTTGAAGCAGTAGTTGTTGACTTAAATGACAACATGTCTACATCTGTTACATCAGGTTTAGTATCGGTTATACCCAGAGTAGAATCATTTCCAACAGCAGGATTAAATTCATTGGGCACAAGTGAATCAAAAAAGATATTATCCAAGCCAATTCCATTCCAACTCATTAAGTTTGTATACTCAGAATCAATAAATCCCATGACTGTTGCATAGCTACTGCCAAGTGACTTGGCATCATGGAAGCTAGTTGATTCGCTTGCTGATATACTGTTAAAAGTTTCACTTAGTTTGAAAGTTCTCGAATCCAGTTCCGCACAGTTATCGGATAACCGTTCAATAAATTCTAATCTTTCCTCAACTAGCTGCCTCATGTCAGCTAATACATCAGTTGAATTACTTTCATTTGGATCCCTTTGTGTAGAATTTAACCACTCGGCCAAAAAATCCTTAGCCACCAAGTTATGCATTACTTTATTTTTAGATTCATCAAAAAATGGTTCCATTGGAGTTTCAGGATTAATTGAATCCTTTAGACTATAATTTTCTGAAGTCATAGATTTCTGAGATTTTATTGTTCCAGAATATTGATTTGTAAGAGATAACCTTGGGGTTGCTCTACTTGTAGATTGTTTCTCAGTACAACTCGGTATAGAAGGTATTTTTATGTTAGATTTGTTTGTTGATTTGCGTTTATTAATATTAATGCTTGTAGATTGTGGATTTTCCGGGGCTAGTTGTGCTCTAAATATGCTATTATTTTTAGAAAATTTTACGTTGTTGCAAACTGTTTTTTTCTTCGATGTTTCTGGTAAATTTTCTTTGTTATCTGAATCTTTATTCTTATGATATTTCTTGCTGCTTTTACATTTTCTGATAACTTTTTTAGTTTTCATCGGTACGTTGTCTATGTCATTTAGTTCTTGACTTCTATTAGACGAGCTCGACTGTGTCCTATCAGTGAGTAGTAACTTTGACGTTGGTTTTACTCTGACTGTGGCTATACTGTTGGGAGATGAGCATGCAGAACTATTCAACGACTGTGGACTCAAAGACCTTTTAGTAGAATCATCAGCCTGTTGGTCTTTATCTTTATTTGTATTAAATGGACTTTCGCAATCTGTAGAACAGCTGATATTGTTATTGATTACATTTTGAAATATTAAATAGTTTATGTTTTCTCTTGGTTCTTGGTTAAATTTCAATAAAATATTCTTAACTTTTTCAGGATCTTCGCATTTATTACCATAAGTCTCGGCTTTATCACTTTCATCGGTATTGTCTAAAGGAAGTATATGATAGTTATGCTTTGAACGTTTTCGCTTTAAATATAACGGTATGTAACTTTTTTTTCGTGGTCTTGGATTGACCTCTTTTTCTTTCTTCAGTATAGCAGTAGTTTTGGAAGGATTTTTAATCACATGTAATGAATCCTTAGATGTTACTCGCCTGCAAAAAAAACAGAATCAATATACACAACGTCGCATTAGATACAGATTCACTAATATAACAAATTGTACATACTTGATCAATTTTGAAGTTACCTGCAAGAATACGACATGTTTTATTGCTTATTTAATAAAAATAATTAATTTACTACATATTTCTTTATAGCACTGAAGTATATCATGCATACTTTATAAGTTTGACAAAATCTTAGTAACCTACCTTGGTCACATTCTTACTGGAACTTTTAACTTTCTTTACATTATTTAGTGTAGAAATCTTTTTGACCTGTCTGGTATCTATCGAACCGTTATTGCGATTTGGCAAGACAACAGTGGTAGCACTTCCATGCTCTTTTAAGTTGGAGATGATTCTTTTATTGGTGGGATTTTTCTTCGTAACAACGTTGTAACTCTTCTTTTTTGGTTGGTTTGTTTTTGAAGTTGTATACTTTTGCCATTTGCCTTGGTAAACTACATCCTCACTTACCTGTCTATCTTTATAGCTATGCACGTAAACACCACCATTACTTAGTTTAGGCCGAGTATATTTACGGGTAAATTCCCGTTCGAGTTCAACATCTTCGGCCAATTTATATTGAAAACCGCTAGTGTCATTAGCGGAAGTCATAAAATGAAGTGGGCTTCTTTGCGAACTGCATAAACTATCACAGAATTCGGAACCCGAGTCTTCTACTTTAACACGACTTGATATGGGTTTAAGCATCGTTGTCTCTGTAGTAGATACCAGACTACTGTTTGGAACAGATGGTATTCCAATGTTTGTATTGGTTTCCCGGTTTAAAGTTTCGCTTTCAAGTGTATATGTGATATTTGTGTCTGAATCTTTTATCTTAATTCCAGTAAATTTTTCTCTAGGATTGACTATTTTAAAACCATCTAGATTTTCATTAGTACAAGTACCAAAATCACAATTTGTTGCATTATCTTGTAGATCAGAAAAAGAACTTCCTATTTTCACACCAGTGTTAAATACTTGTGGCACTTTTGTAAACGATGTGGTTGTTGATAACATTGCAAGTTTGTTAGTAGACTCAGGCCCACATTGCACATCCATACTAACATGTCTGACCCCTTTAGATGTGCTAGGTTCATTAATATCTGTAATTAAAAGTTTAAATCACTAGTAAACGTTAACACTTTATCGATTTCATACGAAGACTACGTACCGTAGAGAAACAAAGTTTGCGAATTAACATTTTCAGATTCGTGGTGGACTTTGTTACAAGCACTGTCAATATGCATAACATTAGTCATACTTCCACGAGTATCGTCCAGTTCATTTTCAAATATTAACAAATCATCATCTGCATCAGTTCCTATTGTGCGTCTTAACACTATGGTTTCTTCTTTATCTTCTGTAATTATGTCAATAAGAAGACTGTTTTTCGTTGCAGCAACACATGGATCAATGTTATTTTCAATAGAATCTAAAATAAGTTCTTGTTGAGTAGGTTCAACTTCTCCTTTTGCAGAGTTCGAATAGCAAAATTCCATTAAAGTTTGCGAAATCTAAAATATATTAATATGATTAGTAATAGCATTTTGCTATAACAATAAACCACTAGATAATAAAATCTTATGGTACTTACTGGTGTAGAAAGCGAATCGTGCATACGCCTATAGCTTTTCTTTGCTCTAAAAGAAAAGTTTTTAGAAGCAGACAATTTTTGACGACTAGTTTTAGTTAAAACATTATAGGTCGATTTCTTTTTAACGCATTTCTTATACAATTTTTCAGCGTTCGATTTGCCTTTACCTTCATCATTTTTTTTATTCTTGAAATGTTTGCCAGCTAAAGCATTATTTTCTGTGCTTTCGCCGTGTCGAAAGAAAGGCTTTGCAGATCTTTTTCGTTTCTTATTTTTATGACGAGCTATTTTACACTTACTGTTGTCAGTATCGCCAGAACTAATATAATGCTTACTATGTTGAGGTATTACAACTACGTCCATGTCCTTGTCGACCCATGCCTTTGTTCTCGATAACGAAGTTTCATTCGAGTTAAAATATCTTGTAAGTGGATTCACAGAGTTTATCTCAATATCAACTAAAGATGGTGATCGTGTTGTTTCTTCGAAATCTATAAATAATGAATAGAGAAATTTTAAAAACTTTGTTGGTGAACCTACTTGTACCTACTCAAAATGTTAGTGTTATTTTAAATGTATACCTAGTTCCATAGAAACGTTTTCATTTAAGAACTCGTTATTAAAATCATTATCTTCCATAACATCATGGTATCGGTCATCACTTCCCTCAGAAGTGCCATTTTTTTCTAAACACAGAATAAAACAATGCTATTGTAATCCAGCCTTAGTATCAATGACACAGAAGTATCAATAGCAAAAATATCGCTTACTCACCAAGTGATTCTACTAAATGTCGGTACTTGTCTACTATTTTGTTTCTGAAAAAAATGACAGCATGTAATTTGTTTTCTCGGACTTACCTCAAAAATTCTAAGTTATACTTACGCTGATTCGTCAGGCTGTCTTATTTTACTCAAGTCGACAGGGTTTATCAGCACATCATCTGTAAAGAGGAATAATAAACAAGAAAAATGCATGAAAATATGGATAAATATTTTAGGGTCTGGCCGTTAGACGCGACGCCCCGGCCAAGACGCACGCATCCAGTCAAAATTTTGTTATTCCGCTACGCCCCCGGCCGGAACGCACCCGTTTTAAAACAGGTCAAAAGTCACACACATTCACTCGCAGCGAAATTTTACTTTTTAAAATTCGACAACCGGAATTAATAAATTCTACTCGGCCCACGTTTCAGACGGGATTCGAACCCGCATCTTCCGCTAACCTAGTATTAAATAAGTATCACTTAATTATTACGATTTTGATTAACCTTATAAACTTTATTTTTACAAACCGTAGCAGATAGCCTTCAACGGAATGGACTCGGCTAAAAATTGTTTCTTTCTTTCTATGGCTTTTTCGGTCAAATTTAGAAGGTCGAGCAGTTTGCAATGCATCCAATGGTTAGGCAAAGATTCCTGGCGCCGCCTGGCGGTGCGCAAGGCCAATTTCATGAGCCGGCAGACAACTCTATCCAGCTCAGTGCTAATGTCTTCGTTGTTTGAGACCATTGACTTTAGTTTGCGCACTTTGTGATCAAGAGCGCGGTACAGACTCCGACCTGAGTTACATTCAAGTTTAATTATAAACATTAATTTCCTATAAAATCAAAACATGCGAATGCCGCTCATATTAAACCGGAAACGAAAGAACTAACTTATTTTTTATAAGTAGGGCCGACAAATGACTCCCGACATTAAGTGATGGTGGAGTCCAGACGCGAAGATAGCTGGTTCGGCAGTTTTACCTACCACACCAGCCATCCTTACCTTGCCGAACTGCAAGTTGCTTCTCCACGCCTCTTTTGAGGGATCTCGTGTTTTAGGAGGGAGAGAAAACGTGAACAGGCAAAACATTCCATTTGCGGATCGTACGACAAAGTTTCGAGTCACCAAATTTCTAAATGAAATCCTATCTGAGAAACTCGTAGGTCATGGATAACAACTGTCTAAATTTACTCCTATCTGGCAACACTATCCTACTCCCTCATAAGCGAGCATTTAAATTTGTTCCTAAACAATGATGCTATATTTGACGGACCTTTAGGCTCAGTACTGCCATCTAGCGTCCGCCATTGAATAAGACCCCTACTTATAATACGTTGATAGCTGATAATGTGTGTAGAAGATAAGCATAGCTTTGTTTTGACTATTGGTCATCAACTCATCACAGACTGATGAAGTGGTAGCGATAGGATTTATTCGTTATTAATGACAATTTCAATGTTATTTTAAATAATATTTTTTAATTTAAAAGTGAATTGTTCTATTTAAGCAACTCAAAGATCCACTATGTATTGCAGTCGTCGACACAGAGCTTTATGTTAAGCAGAATTAGGTCTACTTTACAGAGTTGGACTTTAGGGACTTCGCTAGTACTTCACCAGCCTGTTAGAGTGGAGGGAAAGTGAGTTTCAAGGCTATAATTATGTTTATTCCCTGCTGCTGCATCATTATGGTTGCGTTGTTTCGTCGATAATAAAATTTGATTATAGTTCAGAATTTAGATTAATGCCCAGTCAAATAACAGATGGGCTGAAAAGTTTGTGGGCTAACACAGAAAGATTTTTTTTATCATCTCATCTCTCTCTCATTTCGTCTTGCTTAAACATAGCAAACCACTTCTCCACGGTTGATTTTCCTGGTGCAAATTCCAAATAATGTTCATCAAGCCAAACCTTGCCTTCAACTGTATTTTTTTCGCTAACAAGCAATGCTTTATTAACACACGAAATACCTTTTTATCCAAATTCACAAAAGTTGCTTCACTCAAAATACTTATTTTATATATTTATCTCACAAACTAAAAGTTTGACAACTGTCAAGTTTATACACGTGTCTTTCAAAGGCAAGGGCTTACTCAAAATCATATGGATTTAATACTAGTAGCGCCATCTATGTGTTAGCCTACGAAGTTTTCGTAAACAAAATACTACGTAAAATTTTGACAAGTTTTTTTTTCCATAGGTTCAATCTAAAGTCAAATTTAACTATGTGCGTGCATTTCGAGAGGCCACAATTTTTTTAAAGGTGTTACTAAATCTTTATGTATACAAAAACGACGTTTTCCGCTATGGTCTCTCGAAGGGCACGCGCATAATTTAACTATCGATGAAACAACGCGGCCTAAGAGACCTATGTGACTTTACGAGATACATAATCTTCGTTTAACTTTTGCTGAGGGATTTTTATATGCAGATAAGTTGAAATTCACGCGCTTCATAATAAAAAGCACAAGTAATTACAATGTCAAATGAGAAAGGTACTTTTACAAGTATCAAACATTCGAAAATCATAATCTTTAAAAGTAAAATACAAAAAAAGAACATTGTGATTGGTTGATAAAGCCAAAGAAAGCAGCCACACTTCAGTGTATTATATTTTATTTGACTGCTCACTTTCAACCATTCACTCAAAAGATAATGACCAAAGAGCAAACGAAAAGTAAATAAAAAGTTTAACCATGAATCTCAGGCAATACAATGCTCCCGTCTGAAATCGAAGTGGAACGACCATCAATATCCCACTGCAAAAAGGGAAAATAATGTTAGTATAAAATAACATGGGCTGAATGTAAAAAAGTATAAACGTTTATTCATGGCACTAAAAGTAAATAGCTTAAAACAATGGAAACAGACTTATAATTTAAAACATCTTCAAACTTAACATCTAATTAATGCACAAACTTGCTTAACTAATTTACCACTCTTTTCTATAGCTACTAAAGTTCATTTTCGTAGCCTACATATCAGACTTCAATATCTAACTATAGCATAGACCACACAGGCAATATTTTATCTGTTGCCTATTATATTGACAGCTTTCAATCACATCGTATAAAAATATAGGCATAATCAACACTGCCACCATAAGGCATAAGGTTGAAAATTAAAGGGAGGTACCATCAACAAAGTCATCGCTTGATCAGTTTCATAACTGTTTTGCTTGTATTGAATGAGTGTTGGTCGTCCCGCCTCTTATCTATTGTGTACCCAATTTAATGAATAGCAAGTAATTAAATAAAGGATACTTTCTTCTATTATGAATTTTTGTGCAATTGATAGAACAAAAACAAAAGGGCGGGGCGACCCCTTGGTCAAGGAATCGGTCAGTTTTTTTTTGTTTGTACAAAGGAAAATAGTCTTAATGGAGGTCCAGCCATGACTTTGTTCACAAAATGGAGGGCTTTCAAGTTTGTTGTCCTAAAAACCATTTGTTTACATCAGAGACGGTGTCGTCGCGCCACTCGTCGTCGCGTGTGTTGACCGAGACTGTGTCTACCACCAAGCGCGAATAAATCACCATGTCGCCAGCTATTTCATAGCCATTCCACTCTAGCAGATCTCTAAAACAAGAAGAAATGATAAATATAGTAGCAGCAGTAGCTCATAATTAGGTGCACTGTTAAAATTATTTAATAGACATCTTCCTGATAAAGTACGAATTATAAACTACTCATAATTTTCCAGTAAGTCGTAAGGGTCGACTTAGGTGTGTTGGCTGTGTTTGGAGAATATTGAACAAAAACCTAGAAATCAATATTAACCCCTTTTAAAGTACAGTAACATTCGACGATTTACTGATCACGGCAGAACGATTTTATCGCATAATGATTTCCGCCAAACAGTGAGTTATTCCAAGATCGACTACTACTAATGAAATAAGGGCTTGCATCTATTTATCATTTTTTTCAGCTGGCAGTAAATATGACAGTTACATTGCTGAAAAATCAATCTACAGAAGATTCCTCCAAACAATTGTTAACTATGGTAAAAGCTGTGTTCCTGTCGAACGAATAGCTTTCATTTCTTCCAAATTATTGTAAGCGGTACGAAGCTCGCCAGGTCAGCTAGTTTATAAAAAAAAAATGTTCCACATCTTATAGCTAACGCACGCAACGCATAAGCTTTCAAATTTGAATAACTATTCAATGTTTAAATCATTACTCACTTGATTCTATCAACATCATCTGTTATGTGCTGGACAACCTTCATGACATAGTCCAAGGGAATTTCAACCTTGTTTGCATCTACGTCCAACTCGTGTTGCATTTCCACAAATCTATTGATCTCATCCAAAATCAAATCCAGAATACGGCACTCTTCAGATTTAGTCTGGAAGCACAACAGTTTTTTAGATTTAAATTTTTTGGTGTGAAGCATGATATGACTTGAACTTTAAGCGCTAGTTCAGACACGGCGGGAACCGCGCGATTTCAGAATCGCATGGAAATCGCGCGGGTCTTATTTGTATGAGTTAGTGAGTAATCGTTCAGACATACCCGCGCGGTTAATCAAACCGCGCGGTTCCCGCAACCCAACCGCCAGAAAATAGAATCGCGCTACTCCCGCGCGTTTCTATTACTATGGAGTCTTTACTTCGCGTTCAGTTGCATTGCTGCTACCGCGCGGTTAGCTCGTGAGTTCGCCATGGATCGTTTCGACACTGAACTATTTATTGATGAGGTGGAGAAGAGACCTGCAATATGGGATATTCAGTGCGATGATTATTCGAATAAAATAAGCAAGAACCGAGCTTGGCAAGAGTTGGTGGAGATATTTGGAGATTGTGAAGACACATTGGAAAAAAAGAATATTTTAAGTAAGTAGGTTTATTCACCAAAAATGAACTGACAGAATTATTAGCTATTACAATTATTATTACGAAGCGCTAGTATATTATACTCTCCGTATACTTTAGGTACTTAACTAAATATAAACAAACTTCGGCTGTTTTATGCATACATTTCGAACATTTTTCAAATGTAGGTCACAACGTTATTACCTTATTTTGTTTGTTTACATTTAGTTATGTACCTAAACATTACAAGTAGGTACGGTATGTTAGTTGTAGCTATATTTTTGTGTCTTGCCATGGAACACGCCCATCGTTCACAAAGTAATGAGCGAATTTATCTCTGATATTCAAAGATGACGGTGTCCCTCTTCCCGCATGCAAGGTATTGAGATTAGTCATTGGTGCTGTATATAAAGTATCTTTAAATTTTAGGCCATCTCTTGTCCGCACATAGTTATGTAGAATACAACAGGCCTTTATTATGTCTTCGGCAAAATCTATATTTACATTTATAGGCCTATGAAAGATGCGCCATTTGTTTGCCAAAATACCAAAAGTGCACTCAATGTTACGTCGGGCTCTCGATAACCTATAGTTAAAAATCCTTTTTTCATATGGTAAACATTTGCCTGAATATGGACGCATTAAATTTTCCGCTAAGCCCGAAGGCTTCATCTCCAACTATAACATAAGGCATTGGTGTTGGGTCTACATTAGATATGGGTTTAGGTATTGGTATGTTTAATGATTTTTCTGTTAGTCGTTTATAAAATAACGAATTTTTAAATATAGCAGAATCACTGCTTTTGCCATAAGCCCCAATATCAACATAAGTAAAGCAATAGTTGGCGTCGCAAAGTGCTAAGAGGACTATGGAAAAGAAATGTTTATAGTTATGATACAAAGATCCCGAATCAACAGGCTTTATAACTCGGATATGCTTGCCGTCTATAGCACCAATGCAATTTGGGAAATTTGCATATCTCTCAAAATCTCGTGCTATTGTCTTCCAGGTATCTTCAGTCGCTTCGGGCATGACTATGTTTACCAACTTATTCCACAATGATTTACATACTTCGCGGACAATTCCTGTAATCGTCGATTTTCCTAGGCGATAATTGTAGCTAAGTTCTCCAAATGAACAACCCGTACCAAGATATCTGAAACAAGAAAATTATTAATAATATTATTATTTTTAGGTACACAACTCCAAAAAAAATGGAAAAACATACGAGACTGCTACAATAAAGAATACAAAAAAGAAAAAACAACTCCTTCTGGTTCAGGTGCTCGTAAAGGAGCCCGATATATGTACTTTTCAAGACTTTCTTTCCTGCAGAATAGTGTAAGTAATAAAGACACTACAACTAATATTGAAGAACAGAATGAAAGGCAAACTGAGGAGACAAGTCAACTAAACGCCAATGCAACCGAAGCCACTGAAGTACGTCCCCCTAAACGTAAGAAAACACAAGTGCCAGAAGAAAAAATAGCTGTTTTAATAGAAAAAAGCATCAAGTCACGAAAAGTTTTTCAGGATGAACTTCAAGAAAATAGTATTACCAAACAAGATGACGACAAACTCTTTTGCTTGTCGTTATACAAGGAACTCAAAAAAGTACCCGAAAATAGGCGCTTAGCAACTAAAATTGAATTACTTCAAGTGATACAAAAAGGACAAATCTTACCACCCCCTGTTCGCTACAATGCTCAGCAGATCACACCTATGTATTGGCAAGGACATAATTATACAAGCCCGCAAGGATATTTTACTACATCTGGATCATCTCCTCCTGTTATTCCGTCACCGTCACCGTCACCATCGCAATTTAGTTCTGGCTCTCAGTCGTCTACTGTTATAGAGAATATTTATGCTGATTTTGAAGAACAACAATAAATCTTACCTTAGAGTTATTACGAGTTTCTCTTCCGGTGACACGCTTGGCCTCAAATGCGTTTCAGAGCTTGAAATATCTTGCCTGATCAGTTCAATTAGTTCATCAAAAGATTTTATTGACATTCTCAAATAGTCAAAAAATTTGTTATCATACATTCTTAAATTGGGATATAACGTTACGAACTGACCATGTACTAGTCGGTCACTTAATATTGGATGCACCCAATACCGCCTTTTTCTTTTCTTTTTTTTAAGGAGCAACCACAGCAACACACACACTTCTTCGTCGACCTCCATTTTCAAACTGACGCTATACCCGCACGAAAATCGCATACTAACCGCGGTGTCTGAATAGCATCACAATTTTGCGGTTTCAAACCGCGCGATTCGTAAACGCACGATTCCCGCATGTCTGAACGAGCGCTAAGATATTTATTTATGTTCAAAGGATGGCAAAGAAGCTAATGACCCTGATGGTAAGCGGCCACTATAGCCAATTGAACTTTGCCAGATCAAAAATATCACTCACGCCTTTGCCTACCCTGACCATGGGTTCAGGGGATGGCCCCTATGGGGCCGTTCAAGTATTACGTAAGCACTATAGGGGGGCAGCGGTGTCTTCGCTTTACTTATTTTTGATGACATGTGGGGGTGGGGGGTCGAGATAGTGATTACGTCAGCATCATGGATTCGGGTGCCATGGACTGAAGACTGTTATTTGGAATTAATATATATATATATACCAAAAATTCGAAAGAAGTTTGTTTAGTTCGTAATAGTACTTAATAAAATTATAATATTTGTACCTTTTTCTATGTTGAATAATTAATATTATGTGCGTTAAAGTGCTCTATCCTAAGCCTATTTAAGTACTGCAGCTCATGATGCTCATGAATCAATAAAAAAACAGAATACATTAAAGGAAAAATGCATATAGGTACCAATGTTTACGTAAGCATGGGGGGGAGGGGTATGAGCTTTGCTTACTTTTTCTGACAAGGGGGAGGAGGGGGTAAATAATTGTAATAAATCTGCTTACGTAATACTTGAACGGCCCCTATCCCGTGGAATCCTGGAACCTAACTCACCAATAGAAACAGAACACCACCAAATAGTACGGTATTTTATGGTTTCCTGTAAGGTGGAGGTTGCTTTCCCAGACGGGCGCTCCGATTCGAGCGGAGAAACCGCTATGCCCTACCACTCTTAAAGTGTACTATTATCCTTACCCCAAACGGATAAGTATATTCCCTGACCAGGTTGTAGTACTTATTCCAATACGGAGCATTTTCCCCCCAATTTATGTTGCGCCAAACATGATCTCCCTCCACTTGTTCCTTAGGGCAGTTGTTAAAGTTCAACATCTTCCTGAGATGTCTTATTTCGTCTACTACCTCTTTAGTGTGCTCTAGAGAGTGCATGTTGTTTTTGGCCATGAGGTGTTGAGTTTTTTTAGAGAACTTTTTCACTTGTAATGTTGAGCAATTAAGACTGAAATGAGTAAACAAATATGTATTTAAATTACTTTTAACAATAACTACATTATACCTACGAGAAAGAATAAAAGCAACCCAAAGGAATTATTATGATTAGCTAAATTTCCAACACAAATAATTTATAAATATTCAGAGTAGTCTTTCACTATTGTTTATGAACAACTTCTTACTTATTTGTCTAAATATGGCCTTATCTACTATATCTTCTTCCCAGTATAAATTCTCGCAACATATAGAATGGAATGCCTTTGGATGACACTTTGTATAGTAACTAACATATTATATAAGTATTAATAAACTAATTACTAATATAAATATAATAACAACTCTCAACTACAAAAAATACTAAATCTTGACCTGCAATTAACATCTTCAATGACATATATTCGATTGTCATTCCGCCTTCGTCGTGGTATGACAACTTGAAAGCACTCTTCCTCATTAAACATAAGGAAGTTCTTCCCAGACTCTTTATCAAGATTGCACTGAGAGGTTTTATCACAATACTCGAGGGACTCAAAAAAGTAATCGGGAGATAGGACAATGGTCATACATGATTGTTTGTTCGAATATACTAGTTCAGTATAAGACTCTAAGCTGAAAGTATTAAGATTCAGTAGAACACCTGTTTTAATGGACTTTATATAATGAAGGAGGTTTAAGATATATTGGTCTTGGCATCTCAGCTGTGCTATACCCAATGTTGAGCCTATGCCCATGCATACCCAATCTTTGTCTAGACGATATTACTAACTCTAGCCATGAAGATCTTAATTATGTCTTCAGGTACAGAATCCTTGAAGAATCCATTTCTCAGCCATGCACAGAGGATTTAACCAACTATTATATTTTAGTGTTAAAAGGATGGCAAATAAGCATGTGCCCTGCCTAGCGGTAAGCAGCCACCATAGCCTAATAGACTCTTACAATACAAAATAATATCACTCATTGCCTACACTGACCTAATCTCCTACCCCATGGAGCCCCGGAACCTTACTCACCAACAGAAGCACAACTAACTGAGTACTATTAACACTCAGTTACTGTGGAATCATAATATTTATATTAATTTTGTAAACCTGTTGTTTACCACTCGATTTGCCTGACACAAATATTTAACAGATATATTCCACTGATATTTAATACGATTTTGTTCATATTGTACTATCTAGGTACAATATGAACAAAATAGTGGCCGAAACATGTACAAAAGGTACGTTGGATGATCCACGGAGCTCCGTAAGATAATCGCATAGTCAAAACCAATATAAGGTATTATTTAAACATTCAAATGCACAGTTTTTAAGGTTTCAATTGAACGCATGCGTCAGAGTTATGACAGTTAGAAATGAAAGCTGGTAAAATTTTACGACTTGTACTTGTGCCATAGGCGGAATATAAACTTTATTTCTTTGACTCTGCGTAATTCTAAATGCGCTGTTAGCAATGTAGCAGATACGGAGCGCGAGGAGAAGGGACGATTATATAACGCACCATGAATTTGAATATCACAAATATTTTCTATTAAATCACTTTATAGTAAATATGAGAACAAAAATTGCTTCAAATGCGTTAAATTGAAACCTGTCGAAAAACCGACACTAGTCTGTAAGTACTTTTTCACATTTCGTCAGGGAGTTCTGCGGCATCTTGACTTTTCAACGATCCATGTGTGACAGTGAACCAAGCAGTGCTTGAGTGGTGTTCAAGCACTTTTTGATTAGGATAGATTTTGAGTGCAGGTGGTGTATCTAGGGTTTTTAATATCTTTGTAATATTCATACTAAGTACCCAGATATTAAAATTTATTTGGAATTTTATCAATCCTAATACATCATAGTTCAACTACAAAAACTTACTTGTTTGGTGCAAAAAGCATATTACATTCACTATCTGGAATATCTAATGCTTGAATCTCATCACAAGTATTACTTGATGGTGCTCCTGAGAAAAACAAAACCTTTTTCATAAAACTTTATACAGTTATATAAGATCAAAACTTATCTTAACAATATAATCAGTAAAAAATAAACATTTTCAACTAAAAAATCTCAATAGTTTAAAAGTACTTAACACAAAAATTGTACATACGGGTGACTAATGCTAGACTATCAGGATTTAAATCTTTCTGCTTGTGGTAGTCTTTGGATACAAACAGTGCTAGTTGGCTGCAGCAACCGTAGTGTGATGTGCCTGATGGCCCTGGCCCCACTCCTCTGCAAGATACTGAGTAGTGGGGATATCGGACAACTATGTTACTGCACCTACAATTAATAGAATTTTTTTTTGAACAGTATAAAATACCAAAAGACAAAGCCATGTAACATTATTTCAAAAGTCTGCACTATAGAGCCACAAAAATTATCCATGAAAGAAATTTTTAATATTTTACACAAATAATACATACCAATCATGAAATTGTTCTCTTGACCATTCAAAAAAGTGATCTAATCTTCTTAAACCATTCTTCTCCATTGCTTTAAATAAAGGATTAAAATCACCATTCGGTGTGGTGATTACAGCTATCCAGGGTTTGATAAAACCAAATATGGTATGGACAAGCCTTTCAAGGTCATGGGGATACATGTGCTCTATCATTTCTATGGCAATCACTGCATCACAGCCAATCAGCCTGTAGTCTGGATCAGCTGCATTGCCTTGGAAAAGCTGAAAGTTGGTTAAAATATTGATTTAATAGACTATGCAGAAACACTGGAATCCCAAGGATCAAATACATTTTAATATTTTGTTTTGTATTGATCATAATAGGGATGATGAATTATTTTTTAAGGATGAACTGGTACATGTTTAAATCTAAAGATAATTGTATGGTGCGGGTACGAGTCCCCTCTGCTGCCAGGTTCTATATATTTTTCCTAGTACATTTTTGATTGTCTATCAGGAAGTTTATCAAAAAGTGTTGCATGTGTATTTTTTCTTTATTCACATAATCAAAATGCTTTAAGATCTAAGTAGCAAAATGTCCAACTATCGTAAATGTCCAATTAGCAGTACGTCTCAGTAGCAAATCATCTAACTAATGAAAGGTCCACTGTAACGAAATGTCTAAGTAACAAATTGTCTAATTCTCTTAACACCTGGAATTTTGGGTATTAAACATATAGTCTTTTTTATCTGTTGTACAATATGCAATATGTAAGAAGTCGTAGTGCAAGTCCGCAAATTTATAATATTGATTTTTCTGAGCCCTGAATCTGAGCAATCAGGAAAACTTCAGTGCATTAGTCTGATACCTTGGTCTTTCCAAAAGGCATTAAAGATTCTAGTTTCTCAATTGGGATGAATTTGTTTAGACTGCACCAAATTTTATGGGAAACAAAAAGAATGAGTTATGTAGAGAATTTTTAACTGATGTTTTCACCTTCCAGTACTTTGGTTGTATTATGAACATCAAGGCACACTTCCTGCACAGCCGTTTAGACTATTTCCCTAAAAATCTTGGTAATCTGAGTGAAGGACAAAGTGAACGGTTTCATCAAGATATTCAAACTATGGAGGAACGTTACCAGGGTCATAGGAATGTTCACATGGTGGCGGACTATTGTTGAAACATTTAAAAACAGCACTTGTGGCCCAAATCAAACAGTAAAATCTTAAAAAATCTTTTTTAAATAGTGGTTGTTTTTGTAATGGTTTTCTTAAGATATTTCTTTGAAAACACAATTTAATTATATCAAAAACTAAAGCTCATACAATGTGACTAAATTTTTATAATAGTCAAAATACTGTACGCACCAAAAATACTATTCCCTTGTGTAATCAATAAAATTTACTTACTGAAACATATAGTGGTGTTTCTCTTTTTAACACATATTCATCACATCCAAGGAGGTCTGATGAACATTGCACGGGTATACTTTCAATATCCACTCCTAATATATGTTTAACACCAGGTACATCCTTTAGGTATTTGATGAAACTCATATCATGATAACCAAGATCTACAATCTGTAAACATATTTAAAGATATCAATATCACCAATCTAAATTAACAAGTACAGAAAGAGTAGGTAGTTTTAAAACTACTGAAGACAATCAGCTAGCTACATACACAAATTATTTGAGATATATAGAGATAAAGGGGGTGGTAGTGAACAAAATTACCTTTTCTAGCTTCCCAGACCAACGTTCATCCATAAGACAGTCACTAACTGCTGCATATCTTTGAGCGTACACAGGGGGACTGAATACGACTCCTTTTTCATCATCGAATTCAGCAAAAACATGATCTTCAGACTCTTCGTCATCGGAAACATTGCTAGTTTTATTGAAAGTTAGAGACAGATGTTTGAAATACGGACGAAAAATACGGTCTAATACAGCGAATAGTGATTCCCGAAAGAAAACTAAAGTCTGCACAACAATAATCATTATCGCGACTATAGATTTATCAGTTTTCAAACAATCATTACATCAGACAATATCCCATGATGTTCACATGTTTATTTTGATGAGAAGACGAGACTTTACACTTTGTTGTTTCATTTACTGTTGCGAATGATTTTGTTTTGATGTTTGGACATCGTCACTTCATACCGGCTATTTCATATCTTTCGATCTTTCGTGTTTGCTATTTGTGAACTTGACAACAGAGTCTCTTTCTTACTCTCTATAGAGTGCGATAGGGATAATTTGCTGTCTAAACAACGAACAGCAACCACGAACAGACATTTAGGGTGCCGGCCGGTAAGGGTTTCAAATAATAATGGCTGACTGAGTGATGTACAATATTCAAAAAATATAAGCATATCGATATTAACGTATCTTAATGCTGATCAACAAAATTCAAACTTTTTATGTCACACGAAAAATGTACTATGGCCACCAAACAATAATATATCAACAGAAAAAAATTGACACATTAGGTTTCTTTGTGACATCAAGATTTATATTTTTATGAAAAGTACAAAAATCAGTAACATATAAAAAAAAAATGGTTGCCTGTAAAGTCGGTTTTACGGACGAAGATTTTACGTGACAACGTCTTTTTCTCGGTAGAATATTTATTGATATGAATATAATTAAATTGCACAATAGGAACAAGGAATTGAATGAAAATAAGAATTGCACAAATTTTAACTATAGAAATATATTTTGTTTACTAAAACATTGTACATGTAAACTTAAACTTAACACGAGAGACTCATCGTAACGTTACCGAGCGTTACACTTTTTCATAAGTGACTCCCAGCCGCAACCTAATTTAAGACGTTGTCACGTCAAAAAAATATTTCTTAATATAAAATAAATATCTATGATTTGCGTAAATGTTTGGCTTCTGGTAGGTCCCTTTTAAGTCCCCAGCAGTAATCTGCTAGCATTCCTGGACTCCATTTCCCTTGATAGCGCTTTTCTATGAAGGAAATGTCCTGATGAAACCTCTCGCCTTGTTCGTCGCTCACAGCACCCAAATTTAAGGAAAAAACATCCAGATAAGAGTACAGCATATGTATTTTATGAAATCTGCTTTAGAAAAGTAAGGTTTCATTTCTTCGTCACGATGTCGGAAATAAAAAATTTTCGTACCAGAAGAAATTAAATTCCAGTCGTTTAATCTAGACCCCAAAAGCTCAGCCTGTTTTTTAGACAAGTTCAAATCGCGTACTAAATCGTTTAAATTACTTTGTGTCAATAAATGCGGTTCTTTTGAAGTTGACGGCTCATAACTTGGGTCACTCTCTTGAGATATCCCACTTTGTTGACTAAGAACAAATTCCGGACAAGGAACAGAATCCAGACTTTCTGCTTGATTTGGAAGCTTTGGCACAGGCAGTTCGGTACTATGTAGGATTGGTCTGTTGGCCGATGACACGATTAGGTACTGGACAATGGTGTCGATTCTAGCGTGATTCTCTAAACCTAAACTTAAATTTGACAGCAGTATATCCTTGTCATTCTCCATACAGAATGAAAAGGAGAGACTGATGTTAAATTTAGTTTTAAGTTTAGAGAATGACGCCAGAATTGGCACCAGTGTGTTTAGACTTAGTTGTTATGCCTTTTGTTTGAATCAAAGAAAATAACAATCACTTACATGATCCTTTGGTTTCGTCCAAATCATTGGTATACCAAAAGCCAAATGTCTAGATTCTTGTTTAGACCAACCTAAAAGGAGTCTAACACACGTTGAACAACATATATGTGGAACCCAGGGTTTATCTTGGTGGCGTACAGGAAAACCAAAATAGTCTAAATAGTACTTTTCAATTAACGGCGTAAAGGAGGACAATGGTGCCAATTCTGGCGTCATTCTCTAAACTTAAAACTAAATTTAACATCAGTCTCTCCTTTTCATTCTGTATGGAGAATGACAAGGATATACTGCTGTCAAATTTAAGTTTAGGTTTAGAGAATCATGCCAGAATCGACACCAATGTTAAAATTGGCCTAAAAACCAACACCAATTTGGCTTATATGAGAATTCTTAGTATATTTTATGCGATAATTATCAGTATTTAGATTGTGACGGACACTTCCAGTTAAGAATTCATCGATAGATTTAACTCCTCACATTTTTCTCATACCGGGCCCCTTAGGCGCTTTGCAGACGACGGGGCGGGGCGGGGCGGGGCGGGGCGGGGCGGGGCGGGGCAGTCAATTTCGCCGCGAATAATAGCACAAAGTGAATCCTATACTTCAAACGCACACAGAGGGCAAAAAGACCGCGCCGCAGGTGCCCGGCGGGCAGTGGCGGCGCGGCATGACCGCGGCTGCCCGCCGTGGATCATACAAACCAGTTTATATGCAGTAACGCAGACGGTGGCGCGGGGCGGTCAGCTCAGTCCGCGCCACGCACTTTTTAGTGATGGACTATTAACTAGAACGAACGTCCTGAACTGACCGCCTCTGCCCGTCGTGTGCTTTGTGTACGCGGCGCGGGCAGCCGCAGACATCGACGGGCAGACGCGGTCTTTATTGCTTCGCGGACAAAAAGCCCGCCCCGCCCCGTCGTCTGCTAAGCGCCTTATATATACAAATCGATTCTTAAGGAGTAAACTCCAAAAAGTCCCACAAAACTGCTTCGAAACAGCAAACGACACGTTATCACGTAAAACTATCGTTTGTAAACCGACTTTAGAGACAATATTTTTTTGATAAGTGTATTATTAATGTGTGTACGACAGCCCGCTTTGCAGAGGATGCATGGAGGCAGAAGACGACTGACATTCTGCGAGAATGCAACGGAGTGGCCGAATATCGGGTGAAATACCTCGGTTCATCGGGAAACCTCCAAGAGGCAATCTTCAATGTGAAGGCCTTGGGGGCCTTCCTGACGGTGCTGGGCTGGCTGGAGTGATTCCGGCTACACACACTCCTCACGCAAAACAGGCGCCATTAGGCAAGAAGAATAAGCTATTATTTATTTTTCGAAACAATTAAGTATACCATATCTAATTTTGACCTACAGAGTTGAATTTTAACACAGGTGTTGTTTATGGCGTACCTAGGCGTCATGAAGGACTTTTACGTGTTCACATTTTTGTAGGTTTCACTTCTATCACATGTGAACGTGAACAGCACATGCCCGTTTTTTTTAAATTCCTTGTGATCTTACATCTATTATAATTATAAAGATTGTACTTTACTGTCGATAGTAAAAATAAATATCGATTAAGTCAAGTTTACAACGCTAAACTGCGACAATATTTTTTTTTTTAGATTTTGCATTAGGCAAGGCAAAGACCAATACATTTTTGAGAGTCTATGACAATGACGTTAAAATAAAGACAGGTTATAAGCCAACATTGGTATCAATTCTGACATGATTCTCTAAACCTAAACTTAAATTTGACAACAGTGTATCCTTGTTATTCTCTATACAGAATGAAAAGGAGAGACTGATGTTAAATTTAGATTTAAGTTTAGAGAATCACGCCAGAATTGGCACCATTATTGCATTTTACAACGGCACAAGTAGTCATCGCCCCAACTTCCTTTGGCATCAGCCGCCAATAAAGCGCACTAAAGTAGTCTCTTTCACTCTCTTTCATAAAGCAGATGGCACCTCGCTCTTTAGCCTCCACGTGTCAACGGTTTCAGCAACTGTCGTAAGTAATCACGCGAAGCGTGTATGACGTATGTATAACTATAAAATATCAAAGGCATACTATGATAGTCAAAATTAATCATGAATTTCAATTATTATATTAGTTAAATTAATATGTCTATGATTTTAAAAATCAAATTATAACAGAGACTGCATTGCTCCTTCCTTATGCCTTCTTTGCGTTTACCAAGCTAATGGTGTCGATTTCGGCATAATTCTCTAAACCTTAACTTTTTGACAACATCTGTATCCTTGTCTTGCTTTTAGATGTTAGTATTAGTAAGAGAATCATACCGGAATCGACACCATTGTCACGTACTTAAGTAGGTAGGTTTGCTTTAACATGAAGGGGATTGATTTGTTGGACGAAGGACTTTTGTTCTGCATGAATTAAAAGTACCGTGTACAAAATGTCCCCGAACATATCAGATAGGACAAAAGTACGCGTTAGTTTTTGAAAAAAAACAGAACTCATGTGACTAGGCGCAGCAACGCACACTAGTAGTTTAGTCCGCGTTGCGCCCAGTATTCTACTGCAAAAGGTCTTCTCTTTTTCTAAAACATTTATAAATACACTGGTATCGATTCTAGCGTGATTCTCTAAACTTAAAACTAAATTTAACATCAGTCTCTCCTTTTCATTCTGTATAGAGAATGACAAGGATACACTGGTGTCGATTCTAGCATGATTCTCTAAACCTAAACTTAAATTTGACAGCAGTATATCCTAGAGACTGATGTTAAATTTAGTTTTAAGTTTAGAGAATCACGCCAGAATTGGCACCACTGTTGTCAAATTTAAATTTTGATATAGAGAATCATGCCAGAATCGATACCACTAGCTGACCCAGCGAACTTCGTACCGCCATAAAAATAGCAGCTGGTGGTAGAAGTGAACTACTGTTAGGGTTGCATGTATTTTAAGAAAATAAAAAACAAAATTTTGTCAAAAAAATATTTTGGGGTTGGACAATCCTTATCACTTAGGGTTATGAAAAAAAGATAGTGGCCAATTCTCAGAAAATTTCATAAAAATCGGTCAAGCCGTTTTGGAGGTGTATGGTAATTAATATTGTGACACGAGAATTTTATATATAAGATAAAAGTTACAAACTTTTATTACTTAAACACGCAATAACAACTTAACCGATTTGGCACACATATAGTTTATTACCTGGATTGAGACTTATGATACTTTTGTCCCGCAAAAGTTTTAGGTTCCTGAGGGATTTTCAAAAAGCTAAAGTTAACGCGGACGAAGTCGAGGGCAACTGCTAGTATCTAATAATAAAATAAGTTCTAAGCAAATATGTATTTTAATTGAATAAATGTTTGTTTTACGTAAACATGTAAACGGTATATAAATCAATGGTCTTTACTTGGTTTTTTACTTTATGGTTCATTCAGAAATTTATTACTAAACTGTATTACTTTTTTCAACACATTTGCCTCAAAAATACATTATTACTTATTTACGAAGCTCAAAATTACGCGTCGTCCAACGAAGCGTGCGGCAATAGTTTTATGCACGAATGTGGGTTGGCTGTCTCTTTCGGCTTCG